CTCCCATTGTGGAGTACTGGAAGAAGGGGTTTTATTGGCACGTGTTATTGGGCTCGCACGTGACTTTTTTATGGGTAGCTGAAAATTGAAGATTTGTCAACAACTCTGATTTTAGATTGGATGACAGAAATTTTAAGCAACTAAACAATTCAAATTCAAATTAGAATAAATCAATCAACCCCTTACCTCCATTCACGATGTGTAATAAATTTCAAGAAAGGTTGCAATATGTTTTTAGCGTTAGGATGATCCAACTCAACCACTGATTCCCACCATTCTTTTGACTTTTCATCATTCTTCTGAGACGAGGAGGAGGAGATGGTTGACCATTACCAAGCAGAGGAAGTTGTAAAGGGATCCTCTTTAACTTCGGACATTTAAATAGTTGAATAACTTCAATAGAATCACAAACCATAACTCCTTTACCACTGCAGATGCTCTTCAATTGGTCTAAAGATGACAAATGCAATTCCCTTAACTTGGGAAAAGTGAATTTATTGGATGATGTATCATCTAAATCTGATGATGCTATTATCTCCTCCATTTGTTCGCAGTTGTCAACATTCATCTTCTGTAAGTTTTGGAAGGCATGCCAGAGCTCAAGTGGAAACAACTTCCTCATTCTTGGACAACTACTTATTCGAAGAATTTTAAGATTGGAAAAGATGTGCGGTGGTGTTGCTACTCCTTCCACTCTTACAAGTGCACTCAAGTTAAGCAAGCTGCTAAGATCCAACATTTCAAGCTTATCCGGTACTGGACAACACAATGAGGAGGAAGATGAGTCCAACTCAAACACGCACTCCATCCCTTCTAAAGAACAAATAGCACACCTTCTCAACTCGGTTGCATTTTCTAACAAAACTATTTTGTTTAAGCTGCATCTCATGTTTTTCATGTTTTTACAATGATAGATCCACAAATCCTCAAGAGTATCTGGAAGCACTACACCTTCTTCTCCAATCTCACGCCCATTAATTACAACCGTACGTTCATAGCCAGTAAAGAATTCATACATTGCCATTCCTCCTTCACCTGTTATCAGTCGAAGATCATAAGCTGTAAGACTTTCCAAATCTTTGGACTTATTGACAAGATAGTCGAAGTCTTGTATGCCCTCCACTGCACATTCCAAACTCTCCAAATTGCTCAATCCAGCAACCTCTTCTATATTTATCCTTCTAGTAATTGTGCGGCTTGGATATACAACCAGGTACTTGAGACTGGAAAGGCTAGGTAATATTCCTGTTGGAATCTCTTTCAGATTGTGACAATTTAAATCAAGATATTCAAGACTTACCAACATCTCCATGCCTTCAGGGACCACCTCTATCCCTGCCATATGCAGATCAACTTCTTCAATGCCCTGAGCTTTGTTAAGGAAGGCAAGCGCTTTAACCTCTTGCACCTCCTCAACCGCAGTGCAGAGAGATTCACCAAGTTAGAGATAGAATCAGGTAAAGCTTCAATACTAGTATCAGAAAGATCAAGAACCTTAAGTCCGACCATACCTTCAAAAAAGGAACTTGGAATCTCCGATAAATTAGGATTTTCTGACAATATCAAAGTTGACAGCAATGGACACTTTGGTGACAAACCAATAGGAATTTTTGAAATTTCATTTGCCATTAGAGATACCTTCTTAAGATCTCTTACCCACTCATTCTCATTTGGTACCTTTTTCAATTTCATACCAGTTTTTACCATATATCCAAGTTCAGGACCGATGTTTTTGATAGCCATGTCTCTCACAACATCATGCATCTTAACTCTATCACTTCTAACACATTCCTCTAACAAGAAATTATGTTGAAGACTATTTAAAATAGCATGACCGCTATCATAAGCTTCTTGTCTACTTCCCATCTCATCAATCAGTTCTTCATCAATCCAATCTTCTATCAATTTCTTTCTAGAAAACTCAAAATCTTCTTGGAACAAGGAGCAGTACAGAAAACATTTTTGGATATTTGAATTTCCTAGACGGTCATAACTAAATCGTAACCGCGCAAATATCTCATCTTCCGAACCTTTCACACTCTTAACACCTTTTTGTAACTCTGTCAGGGCATTTCTCCACACCTTAATATCATCCACTCCTTTCATGCTTCCTGCTATCACAACAATAGCAAGTGGTAAACCAGCACACTCATTCACAATTAGCTTCAAGATTTCTTCCAACCCGGAAATTTGTAAAACATCACGTCCAACCTTATTGAGGAACAGAGTTAGAGATTCCTCTTGTGAAAGAGGTTGCACTTTAACAATCTTACAATCTAAATAACTGTATACTTCTGTCGATCTACTAGTGATAATTACTTTGCACCCATTCTGCACAGTTGGTTTTTGGGATTCCAACATCCTTGACAGAAAACTTTTCCCATACATCATCTAATATTAGCACAAATTTCACTCTTCTCATTTTATCCATTAGTGCTGCGGCTCTCATCATCACTTCTTCATCTTCCTGAAGACTTTCGCCCATAGCACCAGCAATCTTCT